GACATAGTGCAGAATATATATAGCAAGTGGAGGATTAACAGTAGAGGATTAACAGTAACAACAAGGGCATACATGAGTGGGATAACATAGGTAGGTATGACAACAAGGATGATGCTATCACAACACGATGGACAGAAAACACATAGCTAGAAGCCAATAGGGCATGAAGCCAATAAACAGGTGATTATTGTTAGATGAGTTCATAGTAGGCGGATGGGATGAAATAGCCTTGATCTCTGTTGATTGTTGGGTTGTGGCGGCGAATGTGGACTGCTTCTGTTAGTTTTCTTTTGGTGAAATCATGGAGGTTGTTGGCGAGGATTTGGACGTTGTCCCAGTTGATGATGTGATTGGGACAGTTGATGATATGGTCCGAGATGGCTGATTTGCTGTCGGATTTGATGGTGGAGGTTTTATGCTCTTTGATTCTAGTGTTGATTGGGCGGGATGTTTCACCTACGTAAGATTGCCCGCAGTTGCAGTCAACTTTGTAGACTACACCATTAACCTCTTGGGGTTTAGATGTGTTCCTGCCGTTGGCTCTTAGCAGGGTGTTGAGGGAGTTGGAGCTGGTCTATGATATTTGTGTGCATTTAAATCACTGCATTAAATAACGGGAATCCGGTACCATAATAGGATTTTCTGTTGTGGTGACACTTTTAGTGAAGTCATATGCAGAATTTTTTTAATGAACATTACTTTTTTCATGTCATAACTACTGCAATCTTCATTGCAATATGTGCTACTACATAAAATGATATGACTTGGATTCAGTATTATTTGGAAACGCTAAAACATCTACTGATGCTAACTTTGCTATTGTACAATCTATTCATTTGTTCATTTCAAAATCTAAAAGATTTAAAATTTAAATGTGTGTCTTATTTACGATTACGTCAATCAAATAGTTGTCTGTGTGCGTGACATGCTGATATGTAGAGGTATAGCTGTACAAGCATATATGTGTATACATACATGTACATGGATGCTCCGGTTTAGTTTTGTACCGATATCTGTATCTGTGTATTTGTGTGTGACTTGTATATTCACATCATAATAATCGCAACATGTACAGTAGGTACAATTAATCTAAATTATTTTATGTACGGTTTACTCATATTAATTGTTAAATCCCTTTGTAGGGTAGCTGTTTAAATTGGCTTTGCCTGTTCCAATACCATTCTTTTTTTAAAATAAATAATGTTTAAAAAAAACAAGTACATTCCCCTCACACGCACTGAGAACGCGTGTAACACGCATGTGAGTTTTCTAAGATATTAAATTATTAAATACTAGTTTTTTCTCTCACTTTCAATTTCATTTAATTTTTTCAGTAATTCTAAACTGTTAAGAAAACTTTAACACGATCACAAGGTAATAAACCTGTTGAATGTTATCCTGTGAGATCTATCACAATTTTGATGCTTTCTTCATGTTCAGTCATTTCCAATGGGATGTTCTCACTTTGCCGGCAACAGATGACTGACATATGATCACTTTTGGACAGTTGACAGATGAATTTACGAGGCTTGGCTTGTTCATACCGGGATGGAGTTAATCTCATCAATGAAGAGGGAAACAGACCGAATTCACCAGACCGTCAGTTTTAACTCCCTTCCCTCTTCCCACACTTGTGTCCATGGGCAGTGCACTGCGCCTCCAATCTGTTAAATCATTCCCAACTACAGTAAGTTATTCTACAAATCAATAAACAAACTACATGAATAACCCAATCGTTGATTAAATAATTACCCGAGCGAAGAGAACACGACAAATGAGAACCACTGATTGCCATATATTCCAGGCGCCATGGTCCGAACACACACATTATAGGCAGGGGCAGAAGGGTATTACTGATAATTTGCATTGAGCAATGCACTGATGACCAGGGGAATGATAGCAGGTGATAGTGTTATGATGTGGGATACTGGTGAGGTGAGGTGAAATGGGGTTTAAAGTCGCGTCCAAGATTATTGCACTTATATAGCGACGTGCATGCACGTGTGTGTGTGTGGCTGCTTGTACTAGGCCGGACTGATGCCGATTTATAGTGCTAGCTCACTGAGATACCATGGCGCAGTTTAACATGAATACCCCACTCAGACACAGTATACTGACTCCGAGCCGACCAGTCCTTGTTTTAGCCCCTTAATGCCGCGCGCCAGACAGGGTAACAACAAGTACCATCTTTTAACGTCTTTTGGTATGACGCGGTCGGGGATCGAGCCCCGGACCTTCCGCTCTCCGTGCGGATGCTCTACCACTAGACCACGGAGGCGGTCATGTGGGATACTGACGACCAAAGCTGTTACAAAAGTAATTGTTGTATAATATGTAATGAGGATCCCTGAAAAAAAAGAAGGAAAGTTTCTGATTTCATCGCATGATCTTACTTCTGTAGCAAGTGGAATTATGGAGGACAGGAGGCAAAAACCATGACCTTAGATATTTTGTTAATGTGAGAATATTCAAAACACAATGCATTTCTCTGAAAGAAGAAGCCAAACAACTTTTTGTTCCCACAACACTTTATTTTTCAGTATTATTAATGTTTTCAAATAATATTTTCATGCATTTTGTATAACCGACATGTAGACAGAATTAAACATGTGTAAAGAAACTTTAAGCTAACTCAAAGATCATTTTCATGTCTTTCCAAGACATTTCCTGATTGAATTAGGTTGTAGGTTTCAACACCCGGACACATAAGTCATGTCATTGATAAGAAAATGGAATGATGCAGAAGCATTCTCTAAGCATGGCATCAATTAGAACTGATACCGACTAGCCACGATGGGCCATGCCAGAACGACCTTTCATCATGATTTTAATGAGATTGACAATATCACTGTCCAAGTGTCCAGTGAGTGGTAAAGTATCATAAGTTTAGCGAAACAAATATAGAACTTTATATATTTCATCCCTTGTTTAAATGAAATAACAAATATAATGAAGATATTAAACCCAAATCACCAATGCTATATAGGCACCATGTGCTACCTACTACGAAGATAAGGAGTTCGTGTTTCACGCACTTGTTGAGTTTGAGATTCGTCATGAAGCGATGAGGAAGACAAGCGGAGTGTCTAACACTAGCAAAAGTGAGTGAGTGAGTAAGTTAAAATTAAGCCACAGTAGCAGGTTGGAGGTAAACACTTGTCGAGAGAAAGGACAGTTAAATAACAAAAAACATACCACATGTGTTAAAAAATACCAAAATAAATATACGAGCGGGAAAGTGTTACCTAAGCACCAACGTATGTTGCAACAGAACAATATATTGATATCCTTGAAACATGAATTCACCATGACAGTGACAACACAACGTCACCTCTGGCTGAAAGTGGCGTGTGACCAATTGTTAAGGGAACATTCCTGTAAAGTCTTCTTGGCTGCTACCCCACGTAGGGTTTGATAAATTTATATGATGACTTTTTGTTTATATACTAACGGAAATAATTAACTGTCCTTCATATTAAGTTCAATAAAAACAAATGTATTCTGAGATTAAATAATGCATTTATAATCATGAGAACATCTTCTCGACTTACAGGTCTTGATTCACAATTTGCACATGCATGTTAATGCATGACGCACAATTTGGATGTTTGTGTGTTTGGTGGGTGCATGTACTCACATACGTAGTTCTTCAATGTGAACAAAATACAAAGAATGTTTAGCTGTCAGGTGTTTATAACACCACTTTTGTCTGACCATAAATATCGTTTTGGCAATGCCAAGGCTTGCTGAAAATACATGTATGTGTGCATTGTCGGTATTCTGCGAAAAGGAATGGCCTAAAACGAAGTTGCCAGACATTTTAATGTTTATCGAAACACAATATCGTCTCTTTGGAGACTTTATCTCCAGCAGGGCGTATGACTTGCCATGGGGCCGGTCGTCCACGTGTGATGCCACGTCAGTAAGACAACCATATTCGGTTTTGTGCATCAGCGGAATCGATACCAAACTGCCACATTAACAGCTCGTATGATTCCTGGGTTGAGACCAACCAGTGGCAGGACCGTATGCAATCAGTTGCGGGACACATTCTCTAGCTCCGACGTCTAACAATAGGTTCAATTTTGCTTCCATGTCACCGTCAGGCAAAACTAGTTTCGTATACACAGCATCTGAGGTTCAGAAGACAAGACTTGGACAGTATACGGTTCACAGATGAGTCCAGGTTTCATCTGGACAGCTCCGATGGTTAATGGCAATTAGAATGGCGTATGCTCCCGGAACTGTTCTACCCTTTGTGCAAATGCAGGGACGTAACGGCATGTTTACATAGAACATGTCTGGAATGAGATTGACCGACGCCTACGACAGGACTTATTCAGTTGGGCCAATCATTTTGATTGACATTTGGAACACTATCCCCCAGGATTCAATCACCTGGTGTCTTCAATGCGCCGCCCTTGCCTCGCCTGTAGCAATGGAAATGCTGGTCACAGCCAGTATTTACAATGTTCATTCAGTTGTTACACCAAACCTCTTTTACCGTGTGTCTCGTATTACAATGTATGTTTTGGATACAACATTGATTAGACTAATGACTAAATAATATGTTGTTTTTTTCATTTACATTTACTACACGTCATATAAAGCACAGTTACATTTTTCCGTTAATATACAACACTATTGCAAAATATGGATTTAATGCCACTTATATTGATGTTTGCTCTAATGTGTATTATGTATGTTTACATCAGGTCATTAGGGTATCATTTTTACAAAAAAGGAGATAGTCGTCACGTTTTTACAATTTTGCGTGCATTGCGTATTCATCTGGATCTAATGGTATGCTATCTAAAGAAAATTATTTATAACTGTCAAAACGTCTTAGACCAAGAACAGAAATGCTACTATCAGTAAATGTTCTCTGGGCCACCACACTAATAATTCTGAATAAACATAGTCGTATTTCTGGCTTTCTTTGCTGAATTGTGCATGGAAATTAAAAACGTCAATGCCAGAGAATGATCGGTCTTAAATAGTTGCTGAAACAAATTTGCGTAGAAGGCAAAAGAGCAATAAGTCTTTTATGAATGGATCGATGAAAATCAGTGATGACGCCAGGATAAGCATGTTCTGCTCTTTTGGCAGCACCCTTATTCGCACAACTGTCATTCAAATACGTGCCATTGAGTAAGAAGGTCTAAAGGTCATAGCATTGGACATCAAGCAATTGGAGAAGCAATGTGCCATATTTAATATATTCCTCTGAATGTCTACCATTAAATGTCTGGCATGACTTCACTAGGTCTTTGATGAATCTATAGTCTTTTTGTTCTTGCGATGGTTGAAGTTGATGTCTTCTAAGTGCATGGAACTTCGTCGGCCATTTCGTCTAGAGCTTGCTCACCCCATTGTTTATTTGGCTGCAGCGACTGTCTGATTTTCTGAAATGTATAATTTGTAAAAACTAGCATGACTTTCTTAACCGTCAAGAGATTAATTGAAGCATCATAAAATTATATGTAAAACATTCCCAGGAATAACACTGTGATTACTCAATTAACAGCTCTTAAATGTGATATGTTTTACTGTAAAACACTGAAATTTCTCTAAGCTTCTTTCTCAAGAAAAGCACAGTGTTCGTTCGTAATATTTGGCCAAAGTGTGCTCACCATGAAGCTATGAATAAAAAAGCTACGATGGGTATAATTGTGAAATGTATCAAAACATAAGATTATCATAACCATGAATTGTGCACGTAACAAATTGATCTGAATGCATAATCATATCTGCTCTCCAAATAATAAACTAAAAATTGGTTGTGTATTTAATATTTTATAACAACAAACAAAGGTTGTCATAACCAATCCTGATGGTTGAGTTTAAAACTTTGAGCCAACACTGTGAGGACGACATTTACAACCACTCACCACAGCCGGTCCAGCTTTGCCATACTATCTTTGGTGTAGCGAAATGAAACAAAAGATGGAAGGAGAGCTAACTGTGTGAATACTTGTCATCCATCAGACACTTCAAGGTGTCATAGGTACCCATAATGGTTGTTCATACTGCAGATAGCTGTATGTGCTACCTCAGTTAAAGTGTTTCCTGGAGTCCGCCAAACTGCCCAGATGAAGAGGGCAGGCACGGGAACAATGGAGGCACAGGATATCATCCAGCCGACTGCAGTGGCCCAGGCAGGATAGATGTAGTCCTCGTACTTAGGAGGTCGGTAGGAGTAGAGGGAGTAGCCGAAGGTGATCTGGATGAAAAGATGACAAGGACCCATGGGTGTGCCATTCTTTGCATTTTATATTCTCGAGAGGAGAGGCAGAGATATATTTCTAATAATAAGGTGAGTGCTGGAGGGAGTTTAGTTTATTCATTTTTGAGACACAGGGAATTGGCAGAGACCAATGTTGCCCTTTATTTACTAGACTAATATTGCTCTGTATTACCTATGTCTTAAGTCACTCAACGAAAATGACTAAATTTACTAAAATCGGTATCTTGCTATATTCAATGATGACTTTCCTGGTCATGCCACGAAAATGGTTGAAAGTGTTCCTCTGGTGTTATGTGTGGATCACCCATTTGTATTGTTGTAGCACTGTTGATGTTATTCACTATCACTTACCCTTATATTTAACCTACAAGGAAAAACTAAATGTTCAAAAAACATTTTGGGGAGAAAATAAATAAAACCTAAATTTTAGACACCATCTAATGAACATGAATCATGAGACAAGTTTATTTATTTGCTCTCTTCGATTCACTGGCTCCAAAGCTTTGACATGTTGAAGAAAGGGAACAACCCCTTGAGGCCTCTACATAGCCCTTACCCACGCTTGTCATTACACATACAAAGTAATTATAGTGTTGGGACATCCAATGACATTCAATCTGCCAGATAAACTGCATTCTTCAATGATGAGACAAAACCCTTTCCTTAATCCTTGGTCCAGGAATTGACACATAATCCTATCATAATCGATGTTACTATCATCAACCAGTGTTTTTAAGCCTCATTACTGACAATTTTTAATATTGGTTAGTATTATGCACAACCATCAGAAGCTAAAGTGATGACGTAAATCCTGCTGGGATATCATGCAGGAAGCCGAGGTGCTGTAAGTCCCCATGATCCCAAGCGAGATGGCCTAGCTTTGGTTACTGGTGGCCTATAGCCCGTGTTTTATAACTGTATTATATGTGTTATGCTCAAATATGTTTCATAAATTGTTTTTAAATATAGTATGCATGCTCAAGTATGTTTCATGAATTGTTTTTAAATATAACTTTGCATAAATGACTCAAATGTTTACATATTAAACTTGGTCTCGTCACTATATGGCTGAAATAATGTCAATGCGACGTTAAATTTTAACTCACTCACTCACCCATAATCCTTGGTGCAATGTACATAACACATAACATTATAAAATCAAAACATTAATAGATTCCTAAGATATTATTATCAGATTTTAAAAAGCCTTCTCACTGCTTGAATTCAAACACAAAACAAAGCATGTGCAATGCAAAAAATGTCCTTGTTAAAATATACATCACACAAGATTATTATTAAAGCGTTCATGTATGTAAAAAAAGATTACAGGGTATTTGGATATTTGCGTCTTCTGATACTGAATTCTAAAGGTACGAGTATTATTTCTGATATTCCGAGGACACTGCAAAATATGTGAATATTGGATAAGAGTTTCCAGAATATGGTAGAAATTAACAAAGAAAATATTCTTTTCTTTTTAGGTACGGACGTGATCAGCTGCCGTGAAATGCCTTATAATATCTGATGAATTATTGTACCTTGGATATAAATAATAACATTAATAGAAGAAACAGTTGAATCAAATTGAAAGTTAAAACTGTCCTACCACAAGGAGTAATGGCGATGCAAATTTGATTAACATGATGAAAAGCTCAGGGATCTTCTTCCCCCACATCAGCTGGACGTCCGCTTGAAGTCTCGTTGTGCCTTAACGGTATAAACATAGTAATGACCACCTGAGTTCAATATACAGTGAACATAGTTCTTATCAAAAGACAAACTATGAAAACACATTGGGGAAATACAAGCAATGATTCATTCCAAACATGCAGAGGTTCTCATAGTTAATGAGTGGAGACAAAAGCAATGAAGGCTTTGACCAACCACGAGTTCATGTCTGTGAGTGGAACTGAAGGTAAATACAGAACATCAATGTTGGGGAATAATCAGCCTTGATTATCTGCCGAAACAGATCCAATAGGGTGTAAAGGCACAAAATGACTGGACCATCAAAGTACGAAGACTTAAGCCCCACAAAACACAACAGATTGTAACTTCATTTTGGGTAGGAACATGCATGCACAATAGACGGTGATGAATGAGCATACCCTCTATGACACCAGCCTTCCTTTTTTTACGATCATGTAATACTCTTCAAACATATAATGTATAAATGCTTCTCTACAATATGATATTTGTCATTAAGATCTGAAACAATATGAAGGCAAATGACGTTATGGTGGTGAATTAAATGCAATATGCAATATAAGTGTTGCAACATCAGTCAGGCTTCTTACCGTAGAGCCACCCCATCACTATGCATTCCGACAAGGCAAAGACCGCTGTGGAAGGGAAATAAGCGTACCATTCCACTAGTGTCAGCATGTATATCCCACCCTGGAAATGGAAATAAATTGGATTTATTCCCATTCAAACTTTTCAGAAGGATACATACAAGGGGCGACAAAATTAACGGCCTTGGTGAAACTTTCAAAGTGTATTTTGTAGACGTGTGATGAACATTTGTAAATTTCTTTTTAGGTGAGCAATAGACTTGCCTTTGTATGTATTTGTGACGGTGCCATCACCTTTTTGCGAACACCTAGTATATCATCACTGTTTTATAATGCCTTTTGACATAAATACATGCTTATTATAGAGCCGCATTCGTACAATCGGCTCTGCTTATGGCAGATATTTTAATGGTTATAAAAATTGTTCAGTCACTATTATTTATATAAGTATATCTGTTTTGGGCTTCAGTCAGTTCCCTACTGACCATGACAGTCAGTAGGAAAAAGGAAGTCCTGTGAAAAATAGACAATCAGTTTATTTTGTGAGAGCATATTTTGAACAAAAACGTTTTTACCTGAAAAAGATAGATGATGGCAAAAGGGAAACTGCTTAAGAGGATCAGAGCTGTTGGAAGCCACCGTCGCTTACGTAGACTTGGGAACATATCTTCAAATGCTGATGATATGACTTCAACGGCTGGCAACTGTAAAACGTAAGATTAAATGTCAGCATGAAAGCACATGTTACTTGCAGCAAGAGACAGCTCACTGGACAAGTCCCCACACATAGACGTCTTTCTAACAGAGCGCTTGTAATTAGAAATGGGGTCCATTATGGGGTGTCGTTACTCACGAAAACGTCTCACATGTTGTTGTAACATAATGACGTAGCAATTCTTTTGATAACATTAACAAAGCAAATATAACAGACAAAAGGTAGCTTCGTCAGGTGAGGATATGTTGCTTGATGGGTGGGTTGTGAAACTTAATATGTAGTTAAACGGTCTCCTGCTGCAAGACACAGTATGCATCAACTAACATGTTTACATTTAAATAGGTGTTGATGAGTCAGCTCTAAAGAACAAACCTGTATTCATCTGGTTTAGAATATCTGTTGATTCATGAGCATATGTTCCTGTTATCATCAGAATCGTACAATGGACTCGTTTGTTTTAGCAGAGATGACTTATGAACATGAAAAGACAGTAATTTGTTGCTTTTATGTAATAAGGTGGTTTTTCGTCACACACGTCAGAAACACGAATTTGACAAATGCAATGAATGTTACATAGCATGTCTATATTGTCAACCCAAGTAAGTATAACCAATGTTTGGTTTAAAGTCAGCGATGTCTGTTAGGTTTGTTCCACTTCTTGTGCGTCAAAACATATTGCTACTGGCAAATCATCATATCAAATAAATTTTAGTTTTCTTGCCCATTTCATGCAGGCACCATTACCTAATTGCACACTCATTAAGGCCTATTCCTCTTGTATATTCTACCTGACAATCTATTTCCAGCGTCATCAGCATGATAAATGTCAAGGTTGACCATAACTGTGGCAGGGGCAGATAAGTCAGGACTTGCGGATACACAATAAATGCAAGGTTGAAGCCTGAAAGAGACGGTGATCAAGATATTATAGTCAAATAAATTAAAAACATCCATATGGCTTGGGATGCCACATCACAGACAGAAACACACTAACAACCATCGAGCGAAACCAAAACACTGGAAGACTTTATGTAACACGGGACCTCAATATGCCACAATGGGGATTTCGGTCTGCACAGAAAACCAATGTTTTAACCACAACTCATATGTGCTGAAAAGACATAGTGATGATGAATACAATATCATAATGTACGTATCTCTCGACCTGCCAGCTTGATGTGGGAGGAATTCCCGAAGTGATGCAGGTCTAAGACATTTACCACTTTGGTGAAACCCACGAGCGCTGGACAAGCCAAGGCATATGCTTAAGTTGAACCGGGAGTCGATCCCAAGATCCTAGTTTTCTGGCACGATAACAATAACAAAAGAATACATACCCGAATATTTGCAAAGCATGTAGACTCCTGTGTATGTATGTCAGTAAGTAATGTATGTAACGCGGTTCTTGGGCCACCTTGGTACTGCTGTACCAGCCTCAGTATTAACCTCCCATCATTAGAGTCACCGAGTTACATGCACTCCACGACTAAAGCAGCGCTAACTAACCCGATGATGCAAAAGCCTCCACTGTCACTCCACGTTGGTAGGCAACGTGACCGATGATTGAAAAGAAGGAAAATCCAACCAAGATAGTAGCAAGCAAGTCCACGATACAAACCCAAACTGCGTCTCTAAAATGGAAATGGATATTCATTGAAATCCAGATAGATCAGTTCATAGTAATGGATGATGGTATTGTTATAGGGTATGCAAGTTGATGATGTTATACGTTCCATGACAGGTGATGATGTTATAATTACCCTTGAAGGTGATGGTGTTACAATTACATTTACAGTCGATGGTGTTATACGTTCTATTACAGATAAGTATGTGATAATCACCATTGTAGGCGATAATGTAACAATTACCATTGATGGTAATGATGTTACAATTACTATTGACAGGGGCGATGTAGCAATTATCTTTACAGGTCAAGATGCTACAATTACCATTGCTGGTTATGTTACAATTACCATTGCAGGTCAAGATGTTAAATTACCATTGCTGGTAGTGTTACAATTACCATTCACAGGGATGATGTTACAATTATCATTGCTGGTCAATATATTACAAATACTATTGCAGGTCATGATGTTAAATTCACCATTCACAGAGATGATGTTACAATTATCTTTGCAGGTCAAGATGTTATAATAACAATTGACCGTGATGATGTTACAGTTACCATTTCAGGTGATGATACAATTACCATTGACAGTGATGATGTTGTGATTACCATTGCGGGCCATGATGTCACAACTACCATGATATGTGATGACGTTTAAAAAGTAATAATGTTACAATTGCATGCCTTGATGTTATAAATACAGATAATTACATATCACAATTGATGTAGTAGAGTTTAAAATTATTTGTTTGGTTTCATTTCAAAATGAAAATTTTTTCCACTCTGGTAGCATGGTCATTGTGACAAAGATACCTACCTTAAACAGTTATTGTTGATCTTGTTGTATCTCGACAAGGTTAAATTAAATCCCATGCCAGCATTCAAGGAAAATAAAGCGTAACCGCATGCTTCAATCCATATCTGGTGAAAAAACAATGACTCTTGTCTGCAGTTGTAAATAAACAGAGGATCAACATTTACATACCTCTAAGTTGATTCTTTAATGTTTAATTTCCAATTCAAAATATCTTAAGTTACACTATATTTAAAACATGAACTGCACTGGCGCTAAGTCAGCACTCAGGGAATACCACTGCATTGTCTTGTGTTTTTTTTAAATAGTTTGAATTAAAACTTTGACAACTTTTTAAACATTACAAACAACTGCTTTCGGGTATCTGAGACAATGTACCTTTGAAAACCAATTGATTTGCCTTTTCGGCACAGATTTACAACATTTCAAATACCTGGTTGCAAATTCATTCCTTACCCCAGGATTCATTGAACCAATTTTTGTTTACGCAAATTACCCAGCCACAGATCACATTTTGCAAACTGTTGCAGGAATCGGTGATGGTTAACTGGACATAATCAAATTTAACAACAGTTCTTTCATTTTTCGATTACATAAAAGCAAACCCGGTGTACTTCCCTTTGCCCCTCAGTTTATATATGTATTGTACAGAGATTACCGGGAATACAGAGATTTAAGCACTGACTTGTAGCCTGTGAGATTACTGGGAATACAGAGTTTTAAGACCTGCCTTTTAGCCTGTGAGATTACCGGGAGTACAGACATTTAAGCACTGACTTGTAGCCTGTGAGATTACCGGGATTACAGAGATTTAAGCACTGACTTGTAGCCTGTGAGATTACCGGGAATACAGAGATTTAAGCACTGACTTGTAGCCTGTGAGATTACCGGGAATACAGAGATTTAAGCACTGACTTGTAGCCTGTGAGATTACCGGGAATACAGAGATTTAAGCACTGACTTGTAGCCTGTGAGATTACCGGGAATACAGTGAATTAAGCCCTGCCTTGTAGCCTGTGAGATTACCGGGAATACAGTGAATTAAGCCCTGCCTTGTAGCCTGTGGGATTGCCACAGACGGATAAAATGTTTCAAGCCCATGGCTTATATTGAATTAGAATTTTTGGTAGCCAGATATGTTCCAATACTAATAATAACAGTTTAGTTTATACTTTAGTATAAACTAGCCATTTGAAGAAAATGTATCCTGAGTTAATTTTCTGATAAAACAAAACTGATGTACCCATATTGCATATTGATTTTGCAAATGTTCACGGCAAGAAATCGAAAATATAAGCACACTGTCAAAAAGACAATGTTCCAAAAGATATACAGTGTAGCTTCAAGCGTCACATGCCAATGACAAATCTATAAAGCACGTTTTTGCTATTGAAAGCTAAATCATGAAGGTAGATTTCCTTCGGAAATGCAAGTGCCTGGCTTTTAATCTGATTAAAACAGATGCATGTAGGTTACATTGTAATATTTACAAAATGAATGTCTCACCTTTTCGCGAACAACTGGTGTCATCACTATTTAATAGTGATTCATAAACACAGGCTCGTGTTATGGTCAGAATCGTGCAATGGACTCCTCTTTCAGCAGAGACTTCTTATGAATATGGAATTAATATTTTCTAAGTGTGAAGTGTAGGATAGAGGTATGCAATCAAATTAAATGAGGTACCTTTCTAGGATTGCAAATATTCAAGCAATTCCGTTGAAGTTTTGGGAATTCACAAGGTATTAATTTCATTTTTCTCTTAGATACTTTCTGTGAATATAAAGATAATGCTATCTTGATTGTATTAAACATAATGGTTGTGACAAGGATTTGGTGGCACATTTGCTGGAGCGAGCAATATTTATCTGTTTGTTCGGATTCTGAAGGAGCTTTGGAATCCAGTACAAAAAAGGAATGAATATGTCTTCTGGTTTTAGGTTCAGGGTGAGGTGAGGTGAAATGGTGTTAATCATCGCGTTCAAGGTTATTGCACTTATAAAGCGACGTGCATGCACGTGTGTGACGCTGCTGGTACTAGTTGGGTATAATGCCGATTTTATAGAGCTAGGGCACTTAGATACCATGCCGCAGTTTAACGTGCATTTCCCACTCTGACACTGTACACTGACTACGAGCCGACCAGTCCTTGTTTTAGCCACTAAATGCCGAGTGCCAGGCAGGGGAACAACAATTACCATCTTTTCACGTGTTTTAGTATGACGCGCCCGGGGATCGAACCTCTGACCTTCTGTTCAAAGTGCAGACGTTCTACCACTGGATCAAAGAGGCGGTCTTTAGAGTAAAGACAAAAGTTGATGGTCCTGATGTTTGGGTTTGGCCGCTTTTTTTCTAGTTAATGTCCTGGCCTCATATGGTGCATATTTTTATATTTCACTTATACCAGGTTATTTGCTTAGTTATGCTTACATATAATGGTTATGTTGCTTAAAGCCTTGTCAGTGGTTCTAAGTTCTTTCATATACCATTTTCAGAATGACCCCTAGATGAATGAAATATAATCAAGCTTAGAGAGAACACAGTATCTGACCACAAACATTATATGTAGAGCAGTCAGACTTTGGACGGCAGCAGTCAACACATGTGTACCTACCCCTGGTTCTGTAAGCTTATCGAAGTTGGGTTTGATGAAATAATACATTCCTTCAGCTGACCCTGGCAGTAGACATCCCCTGACGAGGAAGACGATGATCAGGACAAACGGAACGCCAACAGTGACGTACACAAGCTGTAACAGGCATCACAGTTACCTTAGGCGTACGACATGGAAACAAACAACAACGATATCAGTTAGGCAATCGTATTTATTATATACTTTAATGTGAAAGGCTGGGGTTTCCGAAGTTGAGAAAAGTGATATTATCATTGCAGTGAAGATATCAACATCTATGAAATAAATAATAAATCAATCGACATGATATCGAAGGAAACATGTGATATGACAAACAAAAATATCTGATGATTGTACAATCAAATATTTGGAATACGATTGATACAGTAATTTAGTAAGGTGTCATATTTAGAGTAAGGATCTCAGCACCAAGGTGGAGCTTACATTTAACAAAAGTAGCTCAGATCAAGTACAATAAAGGGTCAAAGGTGAAATGAAGATCAAACTATATATACATGGTTGGTACCACAAGGTAGAACACAGCAGTTAACATGTTTGGATCCTTTTCAACCGATTAAGGCTTGCATGTCAAATTTCCGCTTCTTTTGTCTTGTGGATTAAGAAGAGGATATATTTCATCAGACCAGGAGGATGTGACACACGCTGAATGAGTACGATTTCTTCTGATAAATTCATTGGGCTCATTAGGACAACTTAGAGTTATGGAAATTTTTTTAATTCAAAGATTGTTTATAACATGACCAAAATACCATCATTAGCACTGCATAGATTGAAATGCAATACCTTTTAGTTACAGTCTCTGGGATGATATCAACTTGTATCAACATTTTGTGTATGAAAACTTGACTTGGGGTAATTGTATGAATAATAAACAGTATTGTAGATCAACTTCATCTTGCATTGAGGTTTAACACTGGTCAATGACAGAGAAGCAACACAACACAATGACATACACACAGCAGTTGTCTTAAGGCAGCACTAATGAGATCCCTGTTGAAACGTGTGGTTATCAGTAGCAAGTTGCACAAGTCTTGTAATAGTACCCTGTGGTCTGATGTGGGGGTGCTCTGTGGTTTGTCAATCATGCTTTGGTGTGCATGACAATGTCCAAAGGTATGTCATCCATATCTACACTTCCCAGGCAATATGGAGCTCATATCTGCCAATCACTGTTGTGAATTGTTGCACAGCATGGTTTTGGCTGTTGCAAGACCTCCACCATTGGTTCACTATATTCCACTAATGACACTCTTAAAGCACCTGTCCCAAATTGTAACGCAACGTAGAGCATGCTCTATCATTGCAGATCACAGATTATTGAAAGGCTTTGTTCTGTATTACCCCATATATCAGATCAATGTCATGTGTTCGTTTTACAAGCACCTGTTTCAGATGATATGAGATGATAGACAGGTGATGGTGACATGGGATATGAAACTGATATTTCACTTAGTACATCCTCCTGACTCTGCAGGCACAATGTATCGTCATTCCTGGTCATGACAATGAAATTGATGACAATGTTCACACCTGAGTGACAGCGCGCGGATTGTTTCGGCAGCAGAGAAACTGACACCAGTGATCATATTGACAGATGTCTGTAAGTACTCGTGCAGATAATCTTCACGCAACATTCACCCTGTCGGTAAGGTGGATATACATCCCAGTTTTACTGTCAATACAAACACAGATCATAAACCAAAAGCTCTTGAAGTCTCATGATGAGATTTCTATTAAGTTGACACCATGAGATGATGCAGTCATAAGATGCTGGAGATGTCCATGACAGTGTTTTGAGCCGACATCTGCCTGATGAGCGTCTTAGATGAGGCCGGTTGGCTGTTTCACTTGTCTCTGCTTCCAGTTTGGAAGTTTGTAAAACTCTTTCTTTGGACATTTCAAATATTTCCTGAAATTTCTCCTCTTCCAAGTACCACTCAAACTTGGACTCCACGCCCTGCTACAGTATTTCCGCGACAAGTACATCCCTGCATATTTGACTCTGCCATCAGAGTTATTACACCAATTATTGACTTGCCTTTGCATGTGTTTGTGACGGGTGCCACCAGTAGGGATAGGTACACTCACCTTTCCGTGAACACCTGACACCATTATTATTTGATAGTGATTCATAGACACATGCTCATGACATGACAGAATCGTACAATCGACTCGGCTTTTAGTGATTTTTTTTATGAATATCGAAAGTGTTTTTTTCACTTTTATTTACCTTTCCAGTCACCCTGATTCCTCGACACTGGCAAACAAACATAATCAAGTATGTTATGGCCAGACACAGAACCAGAGGCCACCTTACTCCACCCATGTCATGTAAACCATCAGTCAACTGCAACACCTGCAATCTGACAGTATTCCAATTGTTACCTTCGTGTGTGAGGAATGCTCACGTTGAACACCTGGTATCATCACTGAGTTTCAGTCATCCATTCAAATCATTGTCTCTATCACTGTACGATAATCTGAATGGATAATCGAGACTGGTTGATGCTGAGCCAGTTAGCAACTACTTGTTAATCAATGTTACATTTTGTATGAATCTATGCTCATTTATGTGTGAAGAATTCTGTGTAGTTTACAGGGGCCCATGAATTTCCAAGGCTGAACGCTTTTATATACCCCATAGTTAAACCGTCGGTCAAAAGAAAGTATACACTTAAAAATTGGAAGTGACCCAAAAATTACAAAGGTTATCAAAAACTTACTAAGCTAAAACCAGTCGCCGAAACCCTTCAAACGTGAGGTCCAAAACACAACCATTATGCCCGTATCAAATACATCACTACTGAATAAACATGTCTTGTTTGTTTCCATTTTAGCCACCATCAAACATGGGTGTATACGTTCTCTTGCCTGGCAGTGTAATTCTGACTGCCTCCGGCTTTGGTCAAGACCCAGTTTCACCGTGATCCTTCATCACGTTCTGTCAGCAGCATTCTGCACCATTTAGTTTCCCCAAGAGGGGAAACGTAACAAAGCGTCTCCCCGGAGTGTGGAAACGCGGGGTTACGATCCCCGACCGCGTCTAACAAAAGATGTTAGAAGATGGTACTTATTGTTACCCTGCCTGGCGCTCGGCATCAAACAAGGCGTTTGGTTCTAAGTCTGTATACTGTGTCCGAGTAGGGTGTCCATGTTAAACTGCGGCACTGTGTCTCAGTGGGCTAGCACAATAAAGCCGACATTTGTCCAGACTAGTACAAGGACAGGTTACAACCCATTTCATCTCACCTCTCCCGTCCAACATTATGCTATGATAATGCTGATCATGAAATACTCTTATATTCCAGCTATTCTAGCTATATTACGGCGTTCTTTAAATAATCGTGTGTGAAAAAGACAATCCAGTGATTGACTTCCCGAGCATCGATCTACGCAATTCGGATACGATAACATGCATGAAGCAAGCCACTGAGCCTGATCACCCGATCCACAGTTAGTCGCCTCATACGACAAGAATGGATTGCTCAAGAGCAATCCTAACCCGAATCTTCACGGTTTGCTTCTCTTCGCTGACATTATGCCATAATGTACCTGATATACTCCTCGAATCGTCATTAACTCGCTCAAAACTCATATATGACGGGGCCAGTCAATCAGGACAGACATGACTCCTTTTCGTTAACATGTGCTGTCGTAACTGATTTTCATTCATATAATTTCCTTTACTATTTGCTTCTTTCTCCCTATGGAATTTGTTTTGAAAGATATTCGAGACTGGTTACTCTCTTTTACATGTAGAGTAGAAATATTTAATAACGGATCATAAACTGTGGTGACTGATAGGAATGAAGATATATTCTCTGTAAACCATAGTTGGTTGTTTCATCGCATGGATCTGATAAAAAAATGAATTCGAAAACAAAGCACATTCTTCAGAAGGAAGAACCTACGAACCATGCCTTTGTTTTAAAACTGGTTACAGTAAAACAAAGTTCTTTTGGTGAGATGAAATCAACGCTTACGTACCTCCAAAACTCTTCTGCAGCTGTTCTACAAGCATACGCTCCTCCAGTGACGTTTACCTGATGACTGTAGGCGGTGCAGTTTGTAACTTCCGCGTGGTTCATATACGTCTTATTGATGCCACTGTCAGATATACACGAGGGGGTGTTCCAGTCGTTGTCGCAATTGGCCCAAGGTAGGGTGGACGAAAACGAGTAGTAGAAGAAGTAGACAAACCAGGAAAATATGGCATTGTAAAGTGAAAAGACAATCCACAGCAGAATCAAGATACCAACACCAATTCCTGAAAAAGGAAGTATCAAAGTCCATGTACACACACCCGTGTCATAGCGAATATAAACAACTCACAAGAAGTTAAAGAACATCCGAATATTTCATATTATTATAGTTAATCTGTCATGCGATGGCAATCACGCGGATGTGAATGCAAGGACATTGAAATGTTAAGGAAACTTTATCCAAATTGATTCCTGCGACCATGCACATCTGGTCACTCCTCTGGGTCAGTAATATTTATATTTACGCACGAAAACACTGAACCAAATAGTGAAAGGTATTGCTTACACAAATCTTGATTGAACACAAATAATCAGTTTTCTTCAGTGACTTTTAAAAAATGTTTTCCAACCAAAGGATGGTGACAATATAAGCATACTGTACCTTTGAAAGGTGGACACATATTCCAGGCGTTGATTGGTCCACTCTGGGAGAACTGACCAATCACCATATCCAGGAATACACAAGGTATGACGGCGATTATGGTGAACAGCGCGAAAGGTATCAGAAACGCCCCTAAACAACATGAACATTGGTAAACCTTCAATTGGAGTGGGATTCAATGGAATTCAAAACTGAATGTATTGTAAGTCATGTTTGCACATACTACAGTAAGAGAACAGAAGGATATGACAAACACATGCCTTCAATAATCTAAAATGATATATGATACTTAAATGCGTTTGGTTAGCAGTTATGTCGCGTTCGATGATGCATGTTCCGAGGTACTCTGACTGGCGTTGGTGAATACACACACTTCTTCAGAACATTTTGTGCATTATCCCAGCAATGGTGACATAGAATTACGACCCAATTTGAACATGGCGATATGGCAGACCTAGCTAAATGTGCTATATTTAGCACATCAGACGGAAATGCAATATAGGTACGATTTACACCTTAAGATTTCAGGTTGTGATATACATAAATATTGTCGTAACAAAGTCTCACCTCCACCATTACGCATACACAAATATGGGAACTTAATAAATGCCCCTGATCCAATACTGGCACCAAGCAGGGTGATGATGTAGTCCATATGATGCCGCCATCTTTCTCCTGCCATCCCTTAGTTAAAAACAGATACATGTTCGAGTTTAACCTTCGACAAAATTCATATCTTTAATACTGCATCATTAAAAACGTCAAAAAAGGCTGGTAATTTATACAATATCGCAGTTAGTTATTTAATCATATATGTGCATATAAAATGGTCTGAATAAAGGAATATACAAATATCGGGCGAAAATAGGTACATTGTCCCAACCAAATAAGGCAAAAAGAAGCATCCATTTGATCATGATCGACTCATTGACCATCGCAAAACGTTTGAGGCTATTACTATTGTTTAGCCTTCTACGTGTAACGAGTGGATACATGGAGGTTACCTAGGGACTCCGGGACGCCAGGCCAGACAAACCTGACCCCCGACAGGGAACCCTCACAACGGATAACGAATCAATGTCATTACTTACTTACTTACTTACTTTGGAGATTTAACGTGCGCTTTCCGACTGATGCGTATTTCGCACACGGGCCCGGCCAGGCCATTTAATGTGTTTCCGAAAGGGGCGAAGGTGTCATTGCCCTGTTGATCGCCTAAGTACAGTATCGGCCTCTGTCAAATTCCGAGTAAAATTACGGTCCCTAAAAACAATCGGACCGTATGTTCTCTCACTTTGAAGTAAGCTCAGTCACTGTCAGCTAAAACAATAATGCCAATCCTGCATGTAATCATATTGTTCTTACCGACTTGTTGTCCGCTTTGTTGATTTGAATTTACTCAGCTGCTAACGAGAAGCTCTGCTAAATTAGATTAACTCAGTGTCATGAGCCTGTCCATAACTAGCGGTAAATACAGACTGTCATTGTTGATCGCTCCCTGTTCTCACGACATTTCCAGTTACGTTGACGACCAATCGGAAGGCTTGGATGAAGTACCAGCTGTTTGGCTGTACGACTTCAACAGATGCGTAGACAGTTAAGGAAAAATCCTGTTTATAGATAACGTCATAATCTCATTCCAACATCGAACTGAGCCACGTGAATTAAATGGAAAATGCACTTTCACACCACATTGGTCCATCGCGCACGTGAGGTAATAAACTTATACTGTTGTTTTAAGCAGGACTATACTGTTGATGAGTATGTCACCCGCCCTATGCCGCGTGCCCACAGAAGGGCTTTAGCTATGTTCAGATGTGGCACCCCACCTATCCAAATTGAAATACGACGGTATGGTAACGCGCCTTTAGAAGACAGGAAGTTGTCTTAACCTTTTGGAAGATGAATGAATTATCCCGTGTATAATGTTGAGCAACGTGGTCTCTTAGACAAGTGCCACGAGTTAAATTCAACTTTTAGCAACCTGTTTGATGTCCAGAAATTTACCTATATTTTGTCGGATTATATGATGTGTCCTCTTACGCCAAAACCTGCAACGACATTTTACAAAAAAAAGAAACCTTTTTATACAGCTGTTAGTCAGCTTTATCACATATGCTAAATATGTACATTACACTGTCTCTCGTAACTCTGTAGTGAGTGGACCATATATGTATTTTATTATGTAACAGTGTGGTAATGACTTTGTGTGAGACTGTAATAAAAAGACCTCTCTCTCTGCCTGTCTATGAACGAGCGTAATTTGCCGGATATGGCAAGCGACACTGCAGGGATGATTTAAAAAAACAAAAACTATAACCACCAGAAGTGCTTCCAAACAACAACCTCCGATTAGCTTTCATCGTTCCTTTTGTCTGTTTGTTTAGGTTCAAGAAATGAATTAACAGTGTTCACAAATGTGTCTTGATATTACCTCAAAGTTTATTTACGCTATCCTTACAGACGTTAGCCCAGTCTCTTGTCACGCTCAGTTGTGTTAGCGAGCAATCGGCTCACGGCGGCGGCAGTGTTAGACAGCGATAAGTGCCCCTCAAGTCGTCTTTTTGTGTCTAAAGTCAATGATATTTTTAAGCCTTGTTTACATTTTACAGGAGGTAATTGTCGTTACACCACTTAGATTGGCCCTTATTTTGTCTCTGTGATGTAGCTCCTTTTCTCTTTTTTAGGCGAACCAAAGCTGCGTCATGAATGGTGCAGTCAAATTATCAAGTAAGTACCGATCAACCTATATGTGGTTTGAAGTATTTCAGGTGCAATGAGCTCTATCGACAATCTGCTATTAATCTCAATATTGTGAAACTATGTTAGTTCACGTACATTTTCTTGATTGAAAAAAATCTTTAATTAATCTTATCTTTATACTAAGAATTTGAATAAATACACTGCTAAATCTCCATTTCAAGATGACCCTACCTAAACACACCTCACAACTCTTTGCCAGCACCGATCGTGCATGAAACTATGGTAGAAACTTGTGCACCATTTGGTGCTTCAGGGTAGTTTAATTGTGTAGTATTGTGCCAACAGTCACACGTTACCTGGTGTGACGTACTTATGTTAATACATTTTCCACATCAAAGAACAAATACCATCACACAATAAAAGAATGCATCATGATCAAAATAAAATTTAGGGTAATAAAAACGATGTTGCACATCAAACCGTAAATTTGCATTTGTACATGAAAAAGCTTGGTAAAAATATTGGATATGCGCATTTGTCGAAAACGTCAATTGCAGTTATTTAGGTCACCGTGCGTATTTGGTGAGTAGCTGTGTGGCTGTGTAATTTGGGTTCAAGGCGGGGAACCCCAGAAATGGACTTCACACATTGTACCCATTTGGGGAATCCAATTCGGGCTAAAGAACTCTTTAACCACTATCCCGGAACCCTTCCAGTTATATCACGGTGTGCCAGCTTAAACGGTTATAGATGAGGTTTAAGTTGACAGCCTGAGTCGTGGCAAACACATGTGGCAGAAATTATCTTGAGGAAATACAGAAGAAGCGCTTGACTTTAACGGACCAGTTGTCTTTCAATGCGATGTACTGTGACATTAAAAACTGGTATATCGGTAGATATAACACCAGTCTATAGATGTAAACACATTTGATGATACATCTGTGAGTTTAAAGTTGATTTTGACAGCCAGGGCCAAGTCGGACCGAAGACAGATGAACACCTCTGACAAATTCTGCTGGGGTTATACGATGACAACTTGTCTTCTCACAATATAGCTATAGTTTAGTCCCCTATTGCCGAGCGCCAAGAAGGGTAACAAGTATCATCCCTTTACGTCAACATATCATGTCTTCTGAGTTGTACCCTCAGACATTCTATGTACAGATACTTCAGTCACAAGCAGACATATCACCTGAATATCTTACGGGATGACTTATTCTGAACAGTTCAACAGCTGAATCCCAGAGATCAATCTACAAAGAGTTTAAATAGTAAAAACGTAACAGCAGACCTCAAGTACTGTCATCCATGGAGTCCACATGTGCAGAATGTCAGAAGGCGTTCACAGGGACATATGTTATATTAGAAACAAGCATCAGCCGACTTTCAACAAAATCGTTGCTGCATATTCGCCTCCGCCGACGTCATTCCTATACCACACTCCTGAGCAGTTCAAATTCACTATCCCTTACAATGTTGTCTCAGTGGGGCCAATATGGAGAATCTCACCCTCGTGTCTTTTGACATACAATATATATAGTTGATAAAAGTGGGAAAATTCCGAGGCTTGCCGAGGATGTTTGCCACTTTTATCAACGAGTGTTGATATATTTGATATTCAAAGACACGAGGGTGAGATTTTATTTATCATTCAACATCATTCTTCCAACTTGTTCAACTTGAAGACAGAAATTAGCAGTGTAAAAAGTACTGCTAACAGCTTCAGTAGCAGAGCCATTAGTGATGTCATTTGATTGTGACGTCATGGTCACTAATGTTGTCTTAGTGGGGCCAATGATACAATTGATCTATGGATCCAAAGATAGATCCGGATGTCACATCTACGAAGATCAGGCTGTGGATGAAACCCGTTGTGAAGGGCATTTTATCTCGCTGCAGCTGAGGTCTCACGAGCATAAAGAACCGCCCAGTGATCAAGAAACAGACACTGAAGAATCTTTCTTAAAGCTGGAGTAGCTTCCTTCACATAGTTTTCACATAAACAATAAAATGGCACTGGCAAAGTTTTTCAAGTTTTATTGCAGGTATCTGTAATCACATATAGCATATCAACAACACAGAATGTTGCTGTTGAAATATCAAGTAACTACCGATCAACCTACATGTGATTTGAAATATTTCAGTTGCAAGGCTGCCGGGGTCCATGCAGGAAGCAAAAGTACTGTAAGTCCCCATGGTCCCCAGTGTGGTGATCTCCCTTCAGTTGCTGACGATTTCTAGCCCTTTTTTAAATTATGGTGTTCATTAAAGCTTACTGCCTTTTAATATTCTCAACTAGTTTTAAATCAAGTCTGTGATATTCTAGTTGTTCTACTGTCCTTCGTTGACAGCTTTTTATTCAGTTTAAATATATGTATCATAAATGTATCATAAATGTAATTTCTCGTCACGATATGGCTGAAATATTGCCCATGTGACGTTAAATAATAACTCACTCACTCACATTCAGTTGCAAGGAGCGCTATGGACAATATGCTATTAATCTCAATATTGTGAAACTATGTTACTTCACGTACATTTTCTTGATTGAAAAATACTTTGAAAGCTTCTCTTTATACCAAGAATTTGAATAAATACACTGCTAAATCTCCATCTCAAGATGACCCCACCCAAACACCACCATACCTCTATTGATACCCTCTCCCAAACAGATTATACGAGACTTTGACAACACGGATTACACTTAGCCATGGAGAAACCACTCATGTATGGTTAGACAACCCAGGCAAAGTGAAGACCTAAAGATTAGACGACCCGGGTTGTAATCGGATCACCACGGCTGAGTGGTTTCCCCCCATTCGGACTTGGTTGGGACCAGTGAAAACATCCTGTTAATGGTGATGTCCATTCGAGACACAAGTGATTTTTAATACCAGCTAACGATCGCGTGCTTTCAACGCTCAAATAACTCCTTGATGGAGTGGCTGCAACACGTTTTCACGTTGCTCAATACGATGT